CGGTGTGGAGAACCTAGCCATAAATCCAACAGTTGCCCTAAGCGAACTACAATAAATTTGGTCGAGCATGGGGAGTACGAGGGTGAGGAAGGTGAGTTCGACCCCACCTTTGAAGAAGCAGAGGTGATTGAAGGAAACAATAGAGAGTTGTTGTCCCATTCTTTAGTCGTGAGGAGGTTGATGTTCACACCAAAGAAGGAGGAACACCCGCAGCGTCATAACGTGTTTCATACACGTTATGCGACATTATTGATAGCGGCAATAGTGAGAACATTGTTTCCAAACAATGGTTCAAAAATTAGAGCTTAAAATAGAGAAACATCCCATTCATACAAAATTGGATAGATCAAGAAAGGCTCGGAAACGTGAGTAACTGAAACCTCCACCGTTCCATTCTCTATTAGGAAAGTATATGCAGATGAGGTGCGTTGTGATGTAGTCGACATGAATGCGTGCCATACGATCGTGGGCAGACCATGGCAATTTGATGTCGATACCACTCACTGCGGTAGAGACATGCATATTCTATACAAGAATGGTCAGAAGGTTGTTATGGGCTCACTGAAAGAGGCCGAATTTTCCAAGACTACCCCTACCAAAGGAAATTCAGTTATGTTAATCAATAAAGAGGAATTTCTTTGGCGAAGTAAAAACAACCCCTGAAATCTTTGCTGTTATGTGTAAGGGGGAAGTGGTTGAACAACCTTCTTTTATAATACGAGCAACAGTGTAAGCATGAGTTTAAAGAGTTGGTGCTGGAAGACGTGTCTGATAGTCTCCCACCCATGAGGGATATTTAGCACCACATGGACATGGTGCCAGGGGCGAGCCTGCCAAATCTACCACATTACAGGATGAGTCCCAACAAAAATCCGATCCTACAAGAGCAAGTGGAGGAGTTACTGTAGAAAGGGTTTATTCAGGAGAGCATGAGCCCATGTGTTGTCTTGGCCCTGTTAGTACCTAAGAAAGACGGCAGTTGGAAAATGCACGTGATAGTCGCGCAATCAATAGAAACACTTTCAAGTACATATTTCTAGTTTATAGTCGGACAGAAGCAGAACACCGTTTTCACTTGAGAGAGGTATTTACAGCTTTGTAGGAGAATAAGTTGTTCACTAATCTGAAGAAATGTAGTTTTGTGACCCTAAACCTATTATTCCTGGGCTATGTGATTTGTAGTGATGACATTTGGGTAGATAAGGAGAAGGTGAGGGCCATTCGAGAGTGGCCTTCGCCGAAGAATGTGGGTGAAGTACACAGTTTCCATGGCTTAGCCGTGTTCTACCGAAGGTTCGTCAATAACTTTAGTAGTATTGTGGTTCCCATCATAGAATGCATGAAGAAAGGAAAATTCCAATGGGGAGAGGAAGCTGAGATAAGTTTTGCCTTGATCAAGGAAAAACTGTCAACATCCCCCAATTTTAGTCCTTCCAGATTTTGAGAAGCTATTCCAGGTGGATTGTGATGCCTCGATCATGGGAATCAGAGCAGTTCTGCCACAAGAAAGAAGACTAGTTTTACAGTGAGAAGCTGTGTGAAGCACGCAGAAGTGGATTACCTATGAGCTGGAATTCTATGCGGTGGTGCAAGATTTACATACGTGGGAGCATTATCTTATCTAACAAGAGTTCATGCTATTTACAGATCACCGGGCACTGAAATCCATTAACAATCAAAATAATCTTAATCGGATGCACGAGCGATAGTGGGCTTATATCCAGCGATTCACCTTCTCGCTAAAACACAAGTCAGGTCAGTAGAACAAAGTAGTAAATGCACTACGTTGAAGTGCAACTTGCTTAGTAACTATGAGGGCCGAAGTCACAGGGTTCGAGTGCTTGAAGGAGTTATATTAGGCTAATGAAGATTTTGGCCAAGCCTGGGCACCTTGTAAACTGAGGGTTGCACATGTAGGAAGGATTTCTCTTTAATGGCAATCAGTTGTGTACCCACGGAGTTCTTTGCAAGAGCAAGTGGTTCATGAATTGCATGGAGGAGGATTAGGAGGACATTTAGGGTGTGATAAGACGCGAGAGCTGGTGGAAGAACAATATTATTGGCCGCAACTTAAGCGTGACGTGGAGAACCATGTGCGGCGGTGTTTGATTTGCCAAACTAATTAAGGCCAATCTTATAATACTTGCTTTTACGCACTGTTGCCGATTCCAGATGATCCAGGGAGGATTCATCCATGGATTTGTTCTAGGGTTATTGAGGACGCAGGGAGGAGTAGATTTTGTTTTTGTGGTGGTCGATCGATTTTCCAAGGTGGCCCATTTTATTGCGTGCAAGAAGATGAACGATGCAGTCTAGATGGCTAATCTGTTCTTTAAGGAGGTGGTTCGTTTACATGGGGTGCCACAGTCCATTACCATAGATCGTGACACCAAGTTCTTGTCTCACTTTTGGCTGACTTTATGGGGGAGATTCGATACCTCTCTTAACTTCAGTAGCACCTCGCACCCCCAGACTGATGGCCAAGCGGAGGTGGTGAACATGACCCTTGGAAATCTGATTCGCTGTATTTCAAGAGAGAAATCAAAGCAATGGGATCTTGCTCTTGCCCAAGCAGAATTTGCTTACAATTGCATGGTTAGCTGGTCCATTGGCAAATCGTGTATTGCTGTCCTCAATGATATCCTTACCAAAGTTGCCGGGGAAGAGTGTTGCTGCACAGAAAATGGCTGAGCGCGTTAAGATTATTTAAGAGTGTGTCAAGAAACATCTAAGGAAAACTTACGCCAAATACAAGTCAGGAGGCTAAAAAGGTAAGGAGAGATATACATACAAAAAAAAAGAAAAAAAGAAAAGAAAAAGTCAACAATACAAAAAGAAAAAGTTTAAAATAAACAAGAAGATTGGTGGTGGAGTTGACAATAGGCGACAACATAATTGTTGTAGTTGCCAACAATAGACAGCTTGATTGAAGAATTATTCTTCATTGCAAGATTTATGGATGATTCTGCTCCATCGAAATCTCAACAGATACCTCTTTGGATTCCCCTTTAGTAGTATATTACGAAATGCTTTAATGAGTATAATGTCCTTTATTAATAAGCATGCTATGGTTGTCGACCATTATCAGCTTGATAATGGGAGGGCATCTTGGGATGTGCAGTTCCGTATAAATTTCAATGATTGGGAGATCTTGGAGGTTGTAGATTTTCTGGGATTGATATATAGGCAGATGTTGGAGGGTGAGGGTATGGATGAGATGGTGTGGGTGGGCACCTCTGGAGGGGTGTTTGAGGTTAGGTCGTTTTACCCCTGCCTTATTGAGCCTTCATGCCCCATCTTACCCTGGAAATCTGTGTGGAAAACTAAAGCTCCGTTGAAGGTGGCCTTTTTCACTTGGACTGCTGCCCTTGGTAGAATCCTCACTCTCAACAACCTTAGAAGGAGGCGTCATATAGTGGTGAATTGGTGCTGCGTGTGCAAGAAGTCTGGAGAATCTGTGAACCATATTTTGTTGCATTGTCTCGTGGCAAGGGCTATTTGGTCTATGTTCTTGGTCGTTTTTGGTGTGGATTGGGTTGTTTCAGGATCTACGGTTGGTGGTATGTTACAGGCTTGGAAAGGATGTACAGTGGAGAGCTGCTTGGAGGGTCACTCCCCTTTGTATTTGGTGGGGGCTGTGGCACGAGAGGAATAAGAGATCCTTCAAGGGTGAGGAGTCACTTATTTGGTCTCTCAAGTTTAATATTCTGTCTCCTCTCTTTTTGGGTTAATGGGCGGCATTGTATATCTATGGATATTCTTTTGGACTTTGTAGATAACTTAAAATTGTAGTGTCGCCTTGGGCGCCTTTTTGTTTCTTCGGGTTTGCTCCCCTTCGAGCGCCTTTTATGAAGTTTACTTAAAAAAAAAAAAAGAGTGTTGTGTCCTTTATTTTTTTATGAGTGGTGTGGTTTTTGACTTGCCTATATAAAGACTTGAGATGTAAGTTTGTAGGTGGGCAATTATCAATATAATTTCAAGTTTTCTCTCCTGTGAGTGTGTTCCTTGTGAATTCAAGGGTTTTAACTATGTTCTTATCGTTTCTGCTACGTTAGATAGCTATCACAGTTTTTAACATCATTGCTGCTAGACACGTATTAAAGAGTGTTTGGGTGGCCGGATGTGGAGACATGGTTGATCTTTTGTTTTTTTTTTTTTTTTTGATAGCACTCACCATTGTGTGTCGGTTAGAACTGGTCCATGTACTCCTAATTTAGAGAATCTGAAATCTAATATGTAAAGCAGTGTACAAATTAAATTCTACCATCTAAAGACTTGTCAAGATTTCTCATCTTCTTGACTTGGTTGCTGTTAAATCCATTGTGTAATGTAAATAAGTGATAAAAAAACAGCACTCCCTATGGGCTGCCACTTTATTTTTCATTTCCTTTTACTGATAAGTGCTATGGTTGCCACTTTCAAGAACTTCTTAGAGAAAAGTAGCAGGATTTTTTAGGGTTGGAGTTGGAGGTGGAGATTGCTACTGAAAACAATCTGAGGTGAATTCAATGATAATAAAGATTATGAGACTTCTTGCAGCCTTCTGTTTATGCTCTGAATAAATTGAATCAGCATGCTGACACTACTATGGGAAAGCAATTATGGAGGTAGAAAAGATGAATTCATTAGCGAATCTTTTTGCACAGGGTTTATGCTTCATCTTTTCGGGGAATATGGTGGTGGCTAGGAATTGGAGAAGCTTTAGTGGGATTTCTAATGGATGGAGAAGGCGAGGAGTTCTAGTTTTATATGGCGCAGTGGATTAAAATATTTTCTCCTGACTTGTTTGTAGGCATCTTAGAGGATGTGTTCTGTTGATGCTTTGAGGCTAAAATGTTTGTGGTGGGTGGTTGTGCCTGTGCCTGAGTGGGCATGTTTGCTTTCTTGTGCATGAGCTCCTTCCTATTACGTTTTACTGACTGTTCTATGCTAGTTTTTGTTATACACTTGTAATATTACTGTAATTGCTTCATTAACTGTCTGTTTTACTTTCTATACAGCCTGTGGTGGATGCTTTTGATCCGAGATTAATGGTGGCTCCAGCTATATCTCACTTGATAAACTTTACCTCAATAAAGGTATCCTTTCTCTTTGAATAACATCTGGTGCTTGTTAACTCAAGTGCATGTTTCTCTTTTAGTATGCGAAGTGGCCTTCATACTCCATGAGGGAGAATTATGGTATTTTGGTACATACATTTTCTATATCTGAAGTGGTTTTTCAGAAAATTGCTCTCTCTCTCTCTCTCTCTCTCTCTCCCCCTCCATAACAACATTTAAATCCTTTGCCAAAAATCTCTCTTGAAAGTGCTATGATTTTGTGGATACGGATTGTATTCCATCTTCAATGTATGCTATTGATTATGTTTTTCCAAAGAATTAGTTGGACATTGTGAGCGGTGTATGCTTCTAGAAATTATTGGAGCATAGGTATGGAATCTACCAAAGTGCCTAAGCTACCTTTCAAGATTGTTTGGCTTTATAGCTTGTGCTTGGATGAGGAATATTTTAGGGGTGCACTAATGAGAGAACCTGTCCTGCACGTCACATTGATTACCCCGAGGCTGAAATATTTTGTTACTATAGTCATAAAAAGCTAGAAGCTTCAGAGTGGGAACTCCCTGAATCAGCTAGAGTTTCCCACCACTTGTTTGCTGACGATACCATTGTTTTCTGTGACGCGGATGAGTCGCAATTGAGATTCTTGAGATGCGTTCTGGTTTGCTTGAAGGCAGTTTCAGGGCTAAAGATCAACCATGGGAAGAGTGAGATGATGCCGGTTGGGGAGGTTGCCGCTATGGCCTAGTAGCCTAACATTTTGGGGTGTAGGGTTGGGTTGTTTCCTGTGACATATTTGGGTTTGCCGCTGGGATCTTCCTTGAGGAGAGTGTCAGTTTGGGATCCGGTGGTGGAGCATTTTGAGAGGAGGTTAACAGGTTGGAAGAAGCAGTATCTCTCGAAAGGTGGGGGGTTCGAATCTTCCAACATATTATTCTCTCTTTTTCAGGCCCCTATCTGAGGAGAGTTGAGAAGTTGCAAGTTGCAATGAAACTTCTTGTGGGGTGGCTGCGGCGGTATGGGAGATGTTCCCTAATTCCATCTTGTGAATTGGGAGCAAGCTTGTTGGCCTATTCGGCTAGGTGGGTTGGATTATCAGGAGGTTGGAGCTGTTCAATAAGGGCATGCTGGGGAAGTGGCTTTGGAGATTTGGGGTGGATAGACCCATTATTTGGAGGAGGGTCATTGCCAATAAATTTGGAGAGATCAGGGGTGGATGTTGTTCTTAGAGGTGAGGCAGCCAGCTGGGGTGGGCATTTGGAAGGCTATTCGGAGAGGTTTGGATGAATTCTCGAAGCACATTCAGTTTAGGGTGAGAAATGGGAGGAATGTCGGCTTTTGGACTGATGTGTAGGATGGGGATCGTTCACTACGCCCACTTATCTGCGTCTCCTTCGGATAGCGGTGGACAAGGAGACTATGTTGGTCGACCATTGTTGCCTTGATAGTGGAAGGATGCTTTGGGATGTCCAGTTTGTGAGACCCTTTCAGGATTGGGAGTTGGGAGATATTGGTGTGCTGCTGGCCGTGCTGTATTGTCAGGAGTTGGGAAGGGTGGAGCCTGATGTTTGGGTTTGGAAGGAGTCTACCCATGTGGTTGTTGAGGTACGTGCTTTTTACAAGAGTTTGATGGATGTTCGTGAGCCTTCTTTCCCTTGGGAAGGCAGTGTGGCGCACCAAGGCACCGCTTAAAGTGGCCTTTTTTGGATGGACAATGGTTTTTGGGAGGATTTGATTATTGATAATCTGAGGTGTTGTATGTGTAAGAGAAACGAAAAGTCGGTCAGTTATCTTCTCTTGCACTGCTGGTCGTTCGAGATAGATAGTCTATTCTCTTTTCCCTTTTTGGTGTCCATTGGGTAATGCCAGAGTCTCCACAGAGCAAGCTTGAGGCTTGGAAAGGGCGTGCTGTGAGTAGGCCAGTCAGAGATGCTTGGAGGGTAGCTCCCCTTTATTTATGGTGGGGGTTGTGGACTGAGCGGAACTAGCATTCCTTTGATGGAGTTGGGGTTCCGACATGGGTGCTTAAGTTCTCTATGCTTTATACTTTATTTTTTGGGGTAGAGGGATGGAATTGTAAATCAGTAGGGCATATAGTGCCTTTTGTGGATTCTTTGATTGTATAACAGACTTTCTTAGTCTTGCTTTTGTTCTTGGGTTGTGCTCCCCTTTGAGCACTCTTTTAATGAAATCTTACTTGTCCAAAAAAAAATTCCATATTTTTAAATAAGCAGTAAACCTAAAAAATTTCACAAAGTTACCTCTGTTGAATGCATACTGTTATTATATTTTTATTCTTGAACATGGCCTCAATTGATGGTTATTGCATTAGAGACTGAAGAAACATTGCTGTTAACCCGAGAGGGAGAAGAGGGGGAGAGGTGGTGGAACCATGGAAGTTCTCAATCGATTTTTTAAGTTTCGACTATCAGAATTAAATGAAATTTATTTATTTATCAATATGCATGAAATAGATAGAGTGCAAAAATATAAAGTAAAAATTCTTCCACATGCATAAACATTGATTTTTATGTGGAAAACCATAAGGAGAAAAACCATAGGACCTAGTTCAGGCAGACACAAGAATGGTATTGCACACTCGGTTAAACTGATTCTAAACCCAAGAATCCCTTCTTGTCTTTGATTCTGACTCATGCCCAACACTCCATCCTAGATTTGCTGCTGCTAACCAATGAACTCGTTCCTCACATGATCCACTCTTTAACCCGTTCCTAGGTATTATCATTTGGCCCCCTGGCCTGGTCCGAGCCCACATGCCTAGACATGAGGTTCTAGACCCCCAACCTATGGGCCTAGATGTGAGCTCCCAGCTCATGTGCCTCTCAATTGGCCCTGCTAGCTGCCTACGAGCCTGAGTAATTTGTTTTTATATCTTCGTTCTTTATATAATAATTTTAGATAACAATATTTTCAATAGGACTTAAACCTACAACCTTCCCTTTGGGGTGGTGGGGTATAAACCACTCAAGCCAATGGTTTGGTTGACAAACATATGCATATGAGGTACTTATATATAAGTTTAATTATTTGCATAGAATTTAAGAGACAAATAGTTTAACCAAAACTCATTTGGAAATAAGTAACTAACAATGATCTTAAAAAAAAAGTGAAATAGGAGACATGGCTTGGAATACAAAAGAATGGGACAAGAGAATTTATGTAGCCGACCCTATTCATATGGAATAAAGGTATGGATGATGATGATGATGATGTATTAGTTTTATGATATATAAAATTATAATAAATATGAATACAACTTGTATTAGTTGAATACTATTTAAATACCTTGTATGTGCATTTGAATATTAGTTATATATTTTACCTTTATAATATTCGAGTTAGGTGGTTTATTTTATAAAAAAATAGGACCGCAAATCAATTGATGTTCACGAACAAGTTGTCAAAAGATCGGCTCAAGCTTGTTCATTTATTAAACGAGCTGAGCTTGAGCTTAGCTTTTAGGCTCGTTTAATAAACGAGCTGAGCCCGAAAATTTCCAAACTCGACTCGTGAACAAGCTCGTATATTTTAAGGCATTATATATTTCAAAATTTTGTAGTAAAGTTTAGCCTATAGCTCAATTTCGTAAGGACCAATAACTTATTTAATCTTTGGAAGCTATCAACCTATTATATAATCACAACCGTAGGATTCCATATAACAGGTAAAGGAAAAAAGAGAAACCCTATCTCCCTCTTAGTGGCACACAACATCTCTCTAGTCTCCACTGACCACCGTAGAACCATGCCGACAACCTTATTCCAAAAGCAATTGTAAGGTTAACTCTCTCTCTCTCTCTCTCTATATATATATATATATATATATGTATATGTATATATATATATATCTGCATGTCAGCTCTTGATCGCCATTCTTTCATTTCTTTTATGCCGATGTAAGCACGAGCTGAGCCTGTTGGTGAGATGTGTGAGGCTAGGTTCTGATAGTTAGTATGCTAAGGCCACACTAAACCTAGGGACGGTGAATATGTCTCGGAATGAAAAATAACTATTTACCAGAAATTAAAGTTTAAACTACCACAACCAACTAGAATTTAAACAATACTCAATAAGCAGATAAAAACTAGTATTATGCAGGAGAGAGAGAGAGAGAGAGAGAGAGAGAGAGAATTCTTCCATGAAAAAACCACTGAACCTAGTCACCCTGATGATTGTATGGAATTTGATGAAGTGTTATTCCCTTATAGCTCTAATGTGTGATCAACACTCAAAAGGCACTCACCATCTATATGCAGGGATAATAAATAAAATAAATAGCATTCTAGCAATTAGATTTCTATGATGCACTCAAGATACTTGCAATATGCCTCTCTATGCTTGGTGCACTTTTTTTAGTAGGCTTAGGATCTTTATAGACATAAGAAGTGCCGGTGGCAGTCGCGGCATTGATTGGCTAGATAGCCAATCACTGTTGCCACGTGTTTTGGTGGTTTTTTTTTTGGTTTATAATCTGTGCTGTTTGACATGCTATCATCTTTAAAAATTTTATAATTAGTGCCATCAATTTTAATCACATTGAATTAGATGCAAAATTTATAATAGCACTAACGGTAAAAATTTTAAAGATGAGGGTATATTTAAAAGTGAAGGGATCATCTTTAAAAATTTTACTATTAGTGCTATCAATTTAAATCAAAAGTGATATTGATAGTCCGAGGATTAGAAAACGAAAATAAAAAATAAAAAAGGAAACCCCAAAACACGGGGCAACTGTGACACTGCCGCAACTGTCCTAGGGCAGTCGCACTAGTGACTGCCGCAACTGTCCTAGGGCAGTCGCACTAGTGACTGCCGCTAGCACTTCTCTATAGACATTTGAGGCTGAAAAGGATTAGGGTTTTTAGAGTTCAATACCTTATTGGAACTACTATTCTGCAGGATTCAAGCGATTGAGGACAGGTTCGATTGATCTAAGCTAGTCCACTGAGCTTCAATCGATGTTTGATCAATTGAACTGTTGCCCTAGTATACTTTGGATTT